CCGTAAATTTAATTGTACACGATTGGGAACAACATTTATCTAAACTAGCTAGCAATTTTGTTATGAAGCAAATACTGCAAAAAGGTTAGAAAACTCGTTTGTGTTAAAACAGAGACTTTTTTAATTTTAGTTATTTTTATAGCATCATATGAAATCTTATTATGCCACTATCTCTGTCTTACAGAAGAGATCCAGCAATTTATAATTAATATTCAATGAAGTTTATTAGAGGAGACTTAAAAAAAATTATATTAACTTAGGCCTCTTGTATATTTACCAAAATTTGACGTACGTTATGCAAAAACAAAAATAGTTTTATTAAAATAGTCATTCTGTTATAACTTGGAATAAGTATACGCTAGTAAATATCACATGATCGCCTATAAAGAGTAAAATTCCTTCATGGGACCATGTAATACACTTTTACAATAAAATCCCAAAAAATATAGAGAGAAGAAAAATAAGGAGTTAAAATCTTTAAAATCAAAAACTTTAAAATTGTAACTAAGCAGAAACTGTCTATTCTTATAGGTTTATTATACTATTAAAACGTACGTAATTGATAGTGACCCGTAAAGAGGTTATCACTACCATACTGTTTATTATTGATTTCATATTTAATTGTACAACATATTAAATTGTAAATTATTAAAAAAAATAGTTCCGTCGGCTCCTTGCTGATTCTTTTCTAGGAGAGGACTTTTGTTTTTTTTTTCACATCAGTGGCAAAAGCACAAATAACTTTCAATACGTATTCTTGCGGTTCTTAGCGCCGTTAGCAAATGTTCTTTTTTTATAGGATAGGCTGACAAACGAGCACACAGTCCACCTGATGGTAAGTGGTTGGTGTGGCCCATAGACATCTACATCTATCCTCGATTACGAATCCAAACGCAGGTGCGTTGTCACCCGTGAGGACTAAGATGTGATGCCTCGTTTCCGTTCGTAAAAAGGGTCTCTGGTTCTCTACACTCACCATACGAAACACAGCAGCGTTAAGCTGCCATTTTACGCTGGTATTCTGTGAAAGCGCGGTCCTTTCCAGGTCGAGCCGACCCATTCGTGCTACAACTATAATACTAATATAACTGAAGCATGGCTCTACTACGTATAATAAAGGTCAGGAAATGTGCAATGTGCAACAACGTCGTTTAATATAAAACTGTATGAGGAGTAGAAGATATATATAATTTTTAATATATTGTTGCGCGCCTAAGTTGACGTCTGCCACTAGCGCCATCTAGTGTCGGGTAACAAAGCGAGGAGAGCTTTCCAGAAAATGACATGACTAATCATTCGACCAACAGCGCCATCTAGTATCGAACATAAGAATTAAGCTTTCTGGAAGCCCCACACTCGAACTTTCTGCGCCTGGTCGGTTGGCGCGCGTATTTACTTGAATATTCTGGACGTTTCGGAGAAAAATGTGTATTTAAAGGCGCTATAAGACGCGGTCGGGGCAGTATTGAATTTGGCGAGACAAGCGAAGCTTCGGAGCGAAATAAAGTGAATCAGTGTGATTAATTATTAGTGTCTTTTAAGTTTTAATTGGTGTGCGGTAATAAAAGTGTAAATTTTGGTAATTCAATCGGCAATCTTTATTGTCACGAACCCTAAGCTCGTAACAATATTTTAATTTAATATTTTAATAATAAAATACCACAATAACAATTTATACGATAATATACAACAACAACTTTTTTTATAAATTGATAGGCATCCGGTACACACATCAGTGCTTGTACACACTTGCAATTAATTTCGAACAAAGAAAACATCGATGCAAATTCATTGTCAACCATGAGGATTAAGATAAAATGCCTCACTGCAGTGGGGACACTACAACTTCGTGGTATAAATGGACTAATTGCTAACTATGCGATATTTTAAAAACACAGATTTATCGTTTTATTGTTTAGCTTGCACTACAATCTTATCGGGATAGACCTCTTAACCTGCAGAGACTGATATGGCCCTTATATCAGCACTAAGCAACTAGATTTAGCTCTTGTTTTATAATTCGTGGCAGAATTATAGCGAAAATCTTTATTCACGTGACAATATTTTTTGTTTTCTTTATAACATTTCTTCGAATTCGGATTTTGACAGTCTGTCTGTTGATCACAAAGAGAACTGAAGATTGAACAAACGATCTTCGGGGTGACCCAGTCCTGTTACACAGGGTCTCCCGATCTTTTACGATCTTCGACAGAGGAGTTGATAGTCCTGTTGATAGCGCGATTCACAAACTCACGAATGAAGCCTAGCTTTTGGAGCGTTCTAGAATGACTGTGGTTTCATACCCACTTTATGCAAAGCAACTCGAGTTCTGTTTTCTTTAATGCCGCATTCTGTTTTCATTAAATTGCATTGTAATTGACGTTGTTTGAAATATGATCTAAGGTACGACGCAATTATTCTTTAAAAAGAAATGATTGGGATAACTATTCAAAGCTCATTAGTCTTATTGATGTTTAGTAAAAAATCCTGTAAATGTGTTTACACTTATTTTGCGGCATGATATTATCAACGACATGTTGTCTGTCGTTGGTTTTTTTTGGTGGCTGTTTGAAATTAACGGTTTTTCGTTAGATTAACAATTTTAACACCTATGTATAATAATATAGTCTGTGGACGATCTGTGATTGGTGTTTACACAAAGTTGACGTCACACGGTTGACGTCATCTCGTCATCGAACGGAGCTTTTTTAAATTCAAAACAATTAAAAATAAATTCAACTTTAATTGGTTTAATGGAGAAAAAAAAAAGAAATTAATTAATTAATTTTATTTTTCTTTTAATTTAATTTGTCTTTTAATTTGTCCGAATCTTTAAATATAAGCAGTTTTCAAAAATTTGCAATATACCCTATTAAGAAAAACAAAAATTATATTGCTCACATGTACAGAAGAGTGAAGATGTGTTGAAAATTCTTAACTGAAATAATAATGGGGTTCCTTTCAAAATTTTATAGTATTTTTATTAATTTATAAGTATTGTCATATATCATACAATAAACATTACTGGTAATAATAACCTTACGTTTAACGTTCTAGTTATAAATTATAATTTTTGAGATGTTTACATGGTGTTTTATACGTGATAAAGGTAGAGTGTACGCGGTAGAGCCACTTTGCAGCTATATTATGGTTATAGCACAAATGGGTCGACTAGACCCGGGAAGGACCAAGCTCTCACAGAATACCAGCGTAAAATAGCAGCTTAATGCTGCTATGTTTTGTATCGTGATTGTAGTGATCCGGAGACCCTTTTTTTACTGGAAACGAGGTATTCCATCTTAGTCCTCAGGGGTGAAAAGCATCTGCGTTTTGGTTCTTAATTGAGGATAAATGTAGATGTCTATGGGCCAGAGTATCCACTTACCATCAGGTGGACTGTGTGCTCGTTTGTCACCCATATTCTATAAAAAACGATACGTTATAAAAAATATACGATATAAAAAACGAACGAATAAATATATTATTGGGTCTACCAGTGATTTTATATTACATCAATTTCTTAAACTTATTTACGTTACATGCACAGGGTATGTAAAATCATTTAAACGTAAACACTATATGCTATTTTTGCTAGTATAACAGAATAAATCTAAAAGTGAGTTTACATAAACAAAGCAAAACAGAAATAAACAATAAAATATATGAGTAAAACCTTATTATCATTCATCATCGTAACGAAACTAAAGATTGTATAGAGCAAGTTTTTATTAGGAATGCGGTTCGCATAATACTTTTTGTGACACTGGTTTAAATTATGTAAATTAAACAAAAAATAACAAATTTTGAACATCTCAGCCAGTCTCATCGGAGCTTTTGGCCCGACACGAAACCACACGTACAGCAGTCCAGCGTACGACCATTAGAAAAACAAACCATTTAAATTATTTGAGATTACGATTACTAGTGCAGGACTTTTCCGTAGAATCTGCGACGGTTGACTGTCTCACTAATTATTGCCTACCGAGCCGCCCTGGCTCCGCCTGCATAGGCTCTATTAATGTGGCGTTATCTAAATTTAAAATTATCAAGGACACATATATTTTATCCCTTTATCGAATTTTCAAATGAAATCAAAAATAGAAAGTATGTGGTTAGTTATGCAAGTTCATTTAAGAACTACTTTAGTAACTTGTTGCTCTTCAGGAATCACAATTCGATACTAAAGATGTTAGGCTAATAACACATGAATCGTACACAAAAGTTAAACTTAAAAAAGGACGATGTTATCAATTCGGGTGTATTCTAAAATATATCTATTTAATGTGAAAAACACACCGAGGTTAATGAAAATTACAGATATTATATTGAAAGGATAGACATTCATCGTAATGCCATTGCAATGCTATTTAAATAAGAATATGACTGACCTGACGCCATATTGTGACGTCACAGCTGTCAATTCAAACCTGTTAGCTAGGGTGAGCAAAACAGATATTTTGAAATGATATTTATTTACAAATAATTACAAAAAAATTAAAGTGAAAAATAATAATCGGAATTTAGTATGAACTTAGGTAATTAGTTTATTAATTTTTTTTTGGAGTTTATGGCCTGGTATCTAGATCTTTAGGCCAAATTTATTAATTTACGTCTTGGTGAAATGTTGCCAACCATGAAAATAGAAAAATATGATAATTTTAAATTATTTTTTAAAATTAATTATGACTTCAATATATTTGGTAATACTAGAACTCAGTTAAATAAACCAAAAGTGGAAATTTTATTTTCTTTGCAAGCCGTACTTTTCAAGTGACAGTTGACAATCGCAGTCATCCGAGGTCATTGAGTCCTATTCTTATTTGAATCGCATTGTATGTGAATTTCAATTAGAATGATCCTATTTCAACTTGGTATATTTATAAACACTCGACTCGCACAGAAATAATTATTTATACTCCGTGTGATATAATAACGTCTATACATATTGTCTTTAATTTTTTATAGTTTCTTTTACAGATATTTTAATATAGATACAGGTGATGACGATGGGCGGTCGCGATGTGGCGCTGTGGTGTGCCGTGGTTGCAGCAGTGGTGACCACCGTCGCCACGGGTGAGCTGTTTAGAAATTCTACTAATAAACGAATGGATCGTTTTTCCCAAAACTAATCAAACTATGGAGTTTAGGGAATCTCTCATAGGAGAATAGTTGAAAAAGTGTCCATCTATAAGCAATAAATAACACTTCAAAAAATCTTCACGACAGCGCTGAAGTAGCTACAGGAAACAGCTACATGAAATGAACTTAGCAGTTTTCGACGGTGTGAGGTGTGCTGCTAAACTGCTCAGTAGCTCTAAAATCTAAAATAATTTTATTTAGTAAATATAACCTTGAAAAAGTCGCCTGTCCCACTAATATTTTTCGGCGCGTTCCATAAAATTTACCCCGTAGCTATAGTGGTGCCACCCTTATTTAACGGGTTTCTACAAACACTTTTTAACACACAGTCTGTACTCCTTACCTCTACACTCCATAAATCAAACCTTAAAACTAAAATAACAAGCTTTCTCTTCGTCACATTTTTTTTTTTAACTCGACACTTACCATTTTAAATACGTCAATGATGTTGTACGTTGAACAAGTGTGTATATAGTAATTTTAACAAGATTAAAACCCTACAAGTAAAAACTAAAGAAAGTTACTATAATATGGCAATAGTTTCGTGAAACCGTTTCGATGGATTAATTAATGTTAAATGACTTTAGTATGCCTTATTTCTAATAATCTTGTAAAAGTATTACAGTTACTACCTTCAATATTTATTTATTTTATACTCTTTATTACACAAAATATATTAAAAAGAACTCGCCAAACTTAAATTTATATACAATTCGGTGGCCTTCTCGCTAAGCAGCGACCACTTCCAGGCAAACATTGGTGAAGGAGTTCATTTCCTTTAGTCATGTATAGAAGTGTGCCTAAATAGTAGATAAATAAGTATGCTCCAGTATTAATACGTATAAGCTATATATATATATATATATATATATATATATATATATATATATATATATATATATATATATATTTATATTCAAAACTAAATAAATATTCAGTGATTGAATCATTTAGTATGGGGGCACGATGAAAGCTACAGATTTTCACAGGTCAATTTCTTATACATTCCTTAATGTCGTAAGATCGCTGATGTCTAATAGGCATTCGCTAAAGGCAAGCCCTTATAAGTCAAGTTACTTTCCCAAATGTACATCCTTGAGATTTACGGGCTTATAACATGAACATTGTATGATTCACATTTTTTTCAGTTTATGGTAATATTTTAATTTTATCTTATTTGTTAATCATAGTTACACTTCAGCTCTTCAGTTTGTTTTTTTATATTTCCCACTGCCGATTATCTTATAAGATTAGACATCTCTTAATTAAATGTCGGACATCATAATATTGTTTAATAAGCAGCATAAACAATACATATTATGCGATTAACACAATTCAATTACACACTAATTTGCTTACAAGACAAAATCTGATATTAAATTGACTTAACCTAATATTTAATATTTCCATTTAACAAAAACACACGCGTGTACTATTAGCTAAAATTATTATATATCTAATATTTATTTTTATGGTTTTTTGTTAACCATCATTTCAATCGGTTTTACAGAGATTATATTGTGTATGCACTGTTTGAAATAGACAACAATCATTATATTAACCTAAATTTCATCCACTTTATGCACGTTACGCTTTTGTTGCTGCTGTGTGCTTATGTTAAATAGGTATTTTAGAGGGAGCTTATTGAAAATAATATTAAAATTTTACAACAAAACAAATAGTTGGGTTTATTTATTTAATAAAATACCTATATAATATAAAATTAATTACTCTATATTATATAGGTATTTTAGAGGAAACTTATTGAAACTGAACTTATTATTATTATTATTGTTTATTATTATTATTCATTTTAGGTCCAATGGGCGGTAAATATGAAAAGATCGCACCACAACAATTGTCACACATCACGGCGAAACTAAGATTACCAAGATTTGTTAACGGTAACGACCCAATTCCATCAAATCAAATGTGCAAAGAAAACGACAAAACGTATAAGGTCAGTTAAACCCATTACAATATTAAACGTTATTTATTTTTTAGATAATTACAACAAATCACAAACGTGCACGTACAAATATTTTAATATGTACAAATATATATATTAAAGTGAAATAAAATTTTCGTTTCGTTAAAAGCATATTTATTTATTTATTTGCTTTTTAGCATGTATGTTACTATGAAATACTATGTATTGCATAATAATTCCCTAATGGAGACATGTAAATTTGTTTATTCTTGGAAATTATAGTTTTACAAAAATTAACATATTATCAAAATCAATCATTATCAAATCATTAATTCAGCAACCACAAACAATTCTACAATATAAAGATGTCAAAATCGTAATTAATAATAATAATAAACAAATAAAGAAATTTTTGTTAAACAACATTATATACCATGTCATTTAATGGGTTGTTCTGTTTATCCACCCCAGGGTGGATTCTCGGAAACTTGTGTTCGGTATCCACTTTTTGATTGTATTCTGCGTTTCCACCCCAAGTACAGTTCAACAGAAAATATATTTATAACCATAAACTTTAAACCACATTAAACTTCCTTGTTTAAATAATATTTAGTAATTTATAAATTCTACAATATGTCCAGGAATTAATCAACACTTATTTCATTATTGAGTAGACGTAATTGTATATCCTGTAAAAATTCGTCTCCCAATAAAAGACATTTTAAAATTTGTTAAGTAGGTACCGTACTATTTCCAATACTGTATTTATATAATTGACCATATATTTATTTAATTTAAATACTTACTTCAATTGAATATAATAAATTGAAATTAATTGCAGTGAAACATTTCTTTCATCAAAAGATATCTCTAGAATGACGTAAATTATGTCACATCGAACATGTGTAAATGAACAATTAAAAGTCTTTCAATTTTGACCTTTAAACAAGAATTATGTATGTATTTCTATAAGTATGCTACTAGGTAATATTGTCTAAGTCTACTAAGTAATCTTGGGCCAGTTTTTATAATTTTTTATAAGCGACTGTACATAGCCGAGGGGGAAAATGAAGAAAAATATTATACGAATTCCGATTATCCACCCTGTCTGGGGTGGATAAATGAACATGCGATTCTGAGTATTCACCGTAGGGTGGATTTCTTAGGTTGGATAAACGGAATGGCCCCATTTAATAATAAAATGTTAACTATGTGTTAAAGTCCCAAAAAAGTTGCCATCGGTAATTTAAAAACTCCCGTACCGAGTAAAATGTGTATTGAAGAAGCCACTGGTATAATTTTTTTTACATGTTCGATATTAAGATTTTTAATTGTGTGTGGTATTTTATTGTATATTGGTTTACCCATCCAGCAACAACTTTTGCTAAAGCGTTTACTTTTTGGTATTTCGCTAATTATTATTATCCGATCTGGGTATCTCGTGTTCATGGATACCACTTCATTATTAAGTTTAAAAAAACTCTTCCTCCAATAAGTGAAATATCAATAATCCAAATCGAATACAACTATTATAAACTATTGCAAATATTGTCAAGTTTCAAGAATAGAAATAATAATATCAAAATAAGATAGGAATAAGAAGAAGAGACTATAGTATGTGCCAAATCGATTGAGAAAAACGGACAAAGACCTCAGATATGAGCCGAGTGTCAAAAGGCGTAACTTACAAAATCTCAGTTTAAATGTGATAACAATATTTAAATATTGATATTATTCACACTCACACAACATATGTTTTGTTTTTTTGTTTCTTAAATAATATTGTCTGTGGTTCCTATAAACATCGTAAAATCTTACGGTATATTGCGAAAAATGTGTTATATTTTATATCTCAATTTATGGTAAGTAACGCAGCAATACATTTAATAACAGTTTCATGTTTAAAAAAATATTTGAAGCATTATAATCACCATATTGAGCTTTTGAAAATTTATCCCTTTAAAATAAACAATTACGTCAGTTCGTTCTAAAAGAAACGTGACAATGGCAGCCAGAAATGCGTTATTTTTTTTGGTAAATAAGTTGATAAATTTCTTAAATAATATTGAAAATAAAGTTTTATTTTTTGAATACGTACGTACTTACTTGGTGTCATTATCATTCGAATCTTTATATGTGTTATAAGTTAATGCTTTTTGTTGTTAAATGAATAAAGTACTTCATAACAATAGATGATTTTTCTTCTACAGCGATCTTTTACATAACTTTTTAATAATAGTTAATAATATATTATATTATATCAATCATTATAAAAAATAATAAAAAAATCATTATAAATAAAGAAAATACTACTTACATATTGTCACCTTAATACGCATACCTCGTAACTCCACATATAGGCGGAAACGACATTTTGATATCATTGGACGCATTAAAAAAAGGATATATTTCGTTTCAAACCTCGTAAATGCAAGTCTAATAAAACCATAGACAATTTGTGTCAAGTTAACCCCGTAAATGCACCATAACATTTTTTTTAAAGTAAACCTCGTAACTCCGTTGTTTATGTCTCCTAATATGGCGGACTGATGTCGTGAGGTTGCGCACGTGGACCGGTGAATCGTTATACAATTTTGTTTTGTTAAATACTACGTTTTAGTTAAAATGGTAAGTGTTAATTCCATCATGATATTATTGTGCAGTGTTTTTTCAAAAGATTGGAATGATTTATTAATGCATTAATACAAAAACTTGACGTTAAATCACGTATGGAGTTACAAGATTTTCTTTCAATGTTTTTCTGACTTTATTTACCATAACGCCTTAGTTGTTTTACTAAATTCATACATTTCATCATTCAAATGTTATTGTGTTTTCGCCTTAAATGAAGTATGCTTTTTAACCGACTTCAAAAAGAAGGAGGTTCTCAATTCGGGTGTGTTTTTTACAGAGCAAAAGAAGCTTGAAAATGATTGAATTATCATTGCAAGGCGTATCACCTAACCAGTTACGTGTGGGACACAATCTCGAGAACTCCGAACGGCCGCCTCAAAAAATCGTTATTCTTGAAAACAGAATTATAAAAAAAGCCGAGAAGAAAGTTGATATAACTCCAGCTGATTTATCAGATATTATAAGAGCCAGCACGAGCCATAAACCTTTCAATATAATGACGATACAAGATAATGTTATTTTTGAGTATATTTCTGATAATACCCTGGAACTGAAAAACAACGAAGAAAAAGAAGATGTAATTCACACAAATGTGAAAAAAGAATCAAACATGCCTTCAACGAGCAACACAGTGACTTCGATTGCAATAGAGTCTCCAAACGATCTTATTAGCGATGACAGTATGGACAGAAATATTGTGCCGTATTCCGACAGCTCCGACAGTTCAACACCAGAGAAGAGAGTAAAACGAAAAAAAAGAGTAAATATGAAAACTGCTGACTGGAAACAAGAGATAAATAAAAGGAAAAGACAATTTGGCTATCCAAACAAAGGTAAGAAAAGAGAAGAAATCATCTGGAAGTATGATGTTGAAAAGAAGGGAAGAGTTCTAAAGCCCAGATGCAAATGCAGAGTTAGTGAGAAGACGAGTAAATTGAATTGCAATAAATTAACAGATAGAGACAGAGGAGACATTTTTAATATATTTTGGAAACTAAGTTGGGATCAGAAAAAAGTTTTTGTGAATAACACAATGAGACTTTCAAAAGTTCATAGACCAAGAGACAGAAAAAACCAAGTTACATCAAGGCGTAAATTTTCAAATGATTGACTCCAAGTAAAACATGAGGTAGTAAGAGTCTGTAAACAAATGTATATCAATACTTTAGCAATTGGGGAATGGACTGCTTTAAACTGGAAGAAACAGGGATTAAATGATGCAAATACCACTGTTCCTAAGTCAAAAGTATCAACGACTGCTTTTGTAGTAGAAAAAGAGGGCTTAGAACGATTTATTAAGTCTTTGCCATTGATGGAAAGCCATTACTGCAGAAAATCGACATCGAAACTTTATTTGCAGCCAGATTGGCCATCTAAACAGGCTCTTTTCAAATTTTACAAAGTTTGGTGCTCTGAAAATGATGTTGTGGCGGCGCTGTCGTCACGCCGCAAGCGAAAACATACCGAAGCCTAAATCACGCTATCAACATTCCGAATCATAAACAGCATATATAGAACATCTCCGAACTATCACATGGAGTGTTGGCCGCTCCCCGGGCATAACACCTTGCCCGGCGGGAGATCTCCCCTTTTCCTTCCACGGCCACAGTGGTGACCACCCGACGTGATCTGAACACGCAACCAACAACCTTCGGAAACTACAACTTTCAAGCCTTCGTCATTATCCTCAAGAACCCCTACCATTCACTACTGAGAATCGTCTTCTGCAGTCTTCAGTTCCTGCAAGCCAGTCCAACTTGTCTTCATCTCGACTCACCGCAGATTTCAAGACAGACTTCTGGCACTTGCTCCGGCACATCGTTCTCACCGGCATCACTTGCCAGTGCGTAGTACGGCATGCATTACACATCGGCATATCATTCGCATCGGTGTCACTTGCCCTTGCGCACACAGCATGCATTCCCCACCGGCATTAAAAGGACACACCGGCAATCGGACTGCACTATCGACCTCCGGTCTGAGCAGGGGGGTGATGAGGCGGCGCTGTCGTCGCGCCGCAAGCGAAAACATACCGAAGCCTAAATCACGCTATCAACATTCCGAATCATAAACAGCATATATAGAACATCTCCGAACTATCACATGGAGTGTTGGCCGCTCCCCCGGGCATGACACCTTGCCCGGCGGGAGATCTCCCCTTTTCCTTCCACGGCCACAATGTCAAGCCTTTGTCATCTTGCTCATTTTATAATGCGTTGGAGAAAAAAAATGTTTCTATATTCAAACCAAAGAAAGATGAATGCGAGTTACGTATTGCTTATAAATCTGGAAACTCACAACAAAGTGATTATGATCAGCATGTTGCAAAAAAAGATGAAGCGAGAGATGAAAAGGTCAAGGATAAAGAGACTGAGAAACATGTCTTTGCAATGGACCTACAAGCGGTTTTACTTTGCCCCAAGTCTAATGTATCCAGTCTTTACTACAAAATGAAATTAAAGGTTCATAACTTTTGTATGTACAACTTAAAGACCAAAGAGGCTTACTGCTTCCTATGGAATGAGACAGAAGGCGGTGTGAATGCTGAGGAGTTTGCATCAATTGTTGCAAAGTTTTTAAATACAGGAGTTTGTCCCTTTTTACAAGATGACACGAGAGTAATTATTTACAGTGATGGATGTACTTCACAAAATAGAAATAGAATGATGGCTAATGCTTTATTGAATGTAGCTATGTTAAACAATGTAGTGATTGAACAAAAATTTTTGGAAAAAGGGCATACTCAAATGGAAGTAGACAGTATACACGCTTGTATTGAAAGAAAAATGAAGGCTAAAGTAATAAACGCTCCTGAAGAGTATCTTGGTGTATGTAAAGAAGCAAGAGTGAACCTAAAGCCCTATAACGTGCATTATTTGACACAAGAATACTTTAACTCAAACAGTGACTTGGCATTTTTCAAATCCATTCGACCTAAGAGGAAGCCCAGAGATCCAGTAGTAACAGATATTAAAGCACTAAAATATACTCCAAGTGGAGACATATTTTACAAACTAAAATTTTCAGAGCCTTGGTCAACTTTGCTACAACGCAAAAATCCTGCTGTGGTCCCAAAACAATTAAGTGCCTTACCAAAACTCCGCAATGAAAGGCTAAAAATAAAAAAAAATAAAGTATGATGACTTATAAAGTCTGAAATCTTCCCTTCCAAAAGATTACCATAGTTACTACGATAGTATTCCTTATGAAGACTGATTTTATGGTTTTTAGTTTTATTAAAACAAATTAGTTAGGTACAAATTATAATAATACTGTCAGTTTATAATCGTCAAATTATAATAATACCTTCAGTTAAGTTAACTGACATTTATTATAATTTGTACCTAACATTGATACTCAGAGGTTTAATAATGTTGCTATTTGTAATATCTCTCTCTTTTTTCGTCTCGTTTATGTTATAATGTTTATGGGTTTAAAAATGATTATTTAAAGTTTAATTTGCGTTAGAAATGTGGAAAATAAAATTGAAAATATTTGTTATAACAATTTTGTTTGTTACTGTAGCTAGTACCAAAATTCTGGTAAAAAAAATAGATTCATACTACAGTTTTATTGGATTTTCTGACCAACTCAATATTTTGGCACTGTCGTTGTGGTATACATCCAGTTCTCTGACAATCACGTCTTGTAATAACTACAAAATTTCTCTGAACTCACCCTCGTAACTCCTTAGTTTTTTTTCCTTCATAATGCTAACCTCGCAACTCCATTTTTAATAGAAAAAGTGACATAAATATGGATTTATTTAAATCTTTTTCACTATTAATTGTATAAAATATCGTTATGCTGCATAATAAATATTTAAGCATACTCTGCCATCTAATATTATGTTTAAAAACTGTTTTTTTGCTCTCCTGTAAACTAAGGAAAAATGGAGTTACAAGTTTTGCATATTAAGGTGACGATATAAAATGTGCCTATGACTGAATGAATGAAAGTTTATTGTTTCCGACATTTTGTTATAATTAGTACGAGTTTGAGGACTTCTTTTAAGTATAAAGATACTTGTGGTAGAAGAGAAACAGTGTGTGTATGTGTGTGTGTGTGTATGTATGTGTGTTTGTATGGTGTGTGTGTGTGTGTGTGTGTGTGTGTGTGTGTGTGTGTGTGTGTGTGTGTGTGTGTGTGTGTGTGTGCGTGCGTGCGTGTACAAAAAAAACAATGATATTTATCTTTAAAATATTTATAATTTAAGGTGGGCGAACTCATCTATCGAGGATGTGAAGAAACATGTGAGTGCAAGGCTACCGGTGTGTTTGACTGTTCGCCGCGTTGTGACCATTCATACGTAAGCCGAGAAGAAAAGCTCACCGATCCGTATTGTCATTTGTCGCCTGTTGACGAATGCTGTGCTCTTATCGCTTGTGCTTCAGGCTGAGGCTCATAATTTTCTTTTATTACTTTTTAAAGTTGAATTTGATGTTATATATATATATATATTAAAATTTGCTTTCGTTTATAGAAAAAAGCTACTTTTTTTGAGATATTATGAATATATTAAAATTTGCTTTTGTTTATACATAACAAGTTTTTTTCACCTTGTCGCGTGATCATTAAAATTTCCCTAAACTAGATTGAATTATTATGAAAGCTTGACTGTTTTCGGCGTGTAGAGCAGTTTTTTTTAATAGGATAGTGTGACAAATGAGCGTACAGTTCCCCCAGTGATAAGTGGTTGCTGTGGCCCATAGACATCTACATTTATCCTCGATTACAATTCAAAATCCAGATGCGTTGTCACCCGTGACGACTAAGACGGAATGCCTCGTTTCCATAAAAAGGGTCTCCGGTTCTCTACACTCACCACGCGAAACACAGCAACATTAAGGTACTATTTTACCCTTTACTAATTTACTAGTGACCCTTTCATGCTACAACGAAAATAGCTGCAGCGTGACTCTACCATTTTTAAAGTTGCCCGGAGTTAGGAAGAAGGCGGTGTCTCACTCCCGTGCCTCGGAAAGAACGTAAATCCGTTGGTTCTGCGCCGGATCTCTCTCTGATCGTGTCGGTTTCCCGTCCCATCAGACTATGAGAGTGACGGAATAGAGAGTGCGCGGAAAGTGCTCCTTAAAGGACTATACCTTAAAGGATGGCCGCTGTGACCAAAATTGGTCTGGAAGACATTAATATTTAAGACAGTTTAAAAAGAGTATATTTTATAAAAATTTTCGTAACGTCATAATTGTAAATATACCTACTCGTGAATTATTGGTTTAACAAAACATTTTTGTCGAAGACAGTGTTTTGAACTTGTTTGGGTTTTCCTTTGATTTTATCTATTAAATCTATTAAGATATTATTTAGAATGTTAAGCAGAATGTGTTAAGCAGAACACGACACCCACCTCTCTTACTCATATTCAATAATCATTGTTAATATTTGGCAGATTATACAAAGGTAAGTAGGATAGTTTTCCTAAGTTTGACCTTCAAGTTTCAATATACGAGTACAAAAAATTTATATTTGAGCTGTATTCTGATTTAATAAAAATGTTTATTTTGTCAAATATATTGAGAACTTTACTGTTTTTATACAAATTATAGAAATCTTTTTTGTTAAATAATAATAATAACTTTTATTTAAACAAAATGTACCTACGTTTAATTCAAATACAAAATGTCTAGGATAAACCTGTAAATAGGTGTATTTGGTAAAAGATACATTAACAAATATTTTATGTTTCTTATATCAAATGTATCAATAATAATGTCAATAATTTACTTGATATTAATTTATTTAATATCAAGTACATCAGCAACTTTTCCGTATCATCGTATAACCTCGAACATGGTTACAAAATTTGTCTTTAACATTTTTTTGTTTGTAACATTTTTAAAATCTGACATTTTTATGGATACATGTACAAAATAGCAATTACTTGATTATACAGAAAAGGCCCAGGAATGTAATTTCGAAATATATCAATGACTGTAAGTCATATATTTTCGGAATATATGATGTAGTGGAAGTTCTGCCATAAGTTGTTAGGCCGTAATTTATTACACGCTGCCCCAAATGCGCGTTGGCGAACTTCACATGTCTTCGAAATAATTTTTTTCTTATTTCTCTGACATGCAGGTTCCCTCACGATGTTTTCCTTCACCGCCGAGCACGTGGTAAATCAACACTAATTGCAATTAACAATTTCATTGGTGCCGGCGGGGATCGAACCCGGGTTACTCGCGTTATGTTATATTTACAGCGAGCGTTAACCATCTGAGCTACCACGGCTCTTAATTGTAATTTGACGGTAAGTATTTGTATCTTAAAAACAACTAGCTTTCATGAAGAATTGACTCTGAAAATTTAATCTGGCTAGTACTGGGCATCATGTTGAAAAATGTACTTAAATAGTCCATGTGCCCTTTTTTCTTAAATTTAAAGTCTACTAAAAACCTAAGTTTATATTGTTAAGCGTACGCTACGCTAGTAAGTACATAGAACAACAAGATTACTATACGAAAGGACAGGAATTAATCCAATAAAACACACGAATATGTGCAGTTAAAATATTATTTATGACAACTGCGGTACCTACCGGGTCTAAATAGTAATGTGACCCATCTAGGGACCCATTCAAACACACATAAACAATTTCATCAAAATAGACCGAGCAGTTTCTGAGTTATAGCGAGGCTAACGGACAGGAATTAATTTTTATATATAAAGATTTTTGACACGCTTATTTAAAAGTAAACGTCAAAATGAGCTGCATTATTAGCGATACATAGAGTGCGTTTGGCAGAAAAAAGCGCTAGCAAGCGCTTACAAGCGCTAAAATAGTTTTCGGCCAGGACACGATTGCTACTTCAGTAGCGCTGACACAATCCGCCATTTTGCTTATTTAATTTGTTTGTTTTGAAGTAGAATTTATAAGTTGTTTTGTGCAATATTAGTTTTAAGTAATATAATGACATGAATAAACATATACATGTTACTAAAAATTCATGATTAGTAAGTTTTTAATATGAATACTTTACAAACATATATTTAAATTAGGTTAGGTTCCCCGGTTAAAACTAACATCGTGTCCTAGAGGAAAATAGCTACTTACGATTTGACAGCGCTTACCGCTTACGATCGCCATTTTGCTTACAAGCGCTTGCTAGCGCTTTTTTCTGCCAAACGCACCCATAGACTACATTTTTTTTATAAAATTTCTTTTGAGCCTGTGTAGAAGTATCATTCTTTCTCCTTAATCTTCATTTGGGCCTGGTTGGTTTATGTTTTGTATTGCTTGCATGGTAATTGTGCATACTAAATATAAATATTCCTCTCTGGCAAAGGTTGACTCATCTGTCCACATTATGTTGTGAAAAATGTTCTTGTCTGCGTCGCAACTAATTATCATGTCCTGACAGTATTTGGCTGCAATTGCGAAGTTTAGGCTAAAATCTGATTTTGAAAAAATGTTTAATTAAGTCAAGTTTGTGTGTTTCGTGCTTATAAATACTGTTATGGGGCATTATTCTTATTAATAAAGAAAGTTAATTTCTATATAAATTCATTTCAAAATATCATATGTAAAAAACTTTGAATAATTTAAATGCATTAATAAACATACGTTAAAATACATTTATTTTGAACATAAAGTATAATACCTAGTAAAGTGAACGCTTAATATTGTCTTTAAACATTCATTAAGTTTAATAAAACTCTACTTAAAATATTCAAAATTTATTTATTAAATACTATTTGAAAAACAAGCCGATTATATTAGTTACAATAATAAAGATAAATAACATTTGTATTATAATTGGGAAAACCAGTTCTTGTAATGCTGGAGTGTTTTCTTGTATTGTTGTAGTGTGTAAACATTTTAATGATTGCTTTTTTAGGGGAGTTACTGGAGACGCATACCTGCAGTGATACATATATAATATGTAGTGGTCATATCGCTGCCTATCAAAGTACTGTATAGTCGTATATTAGAGACTTATAAATAGTAAGGTCTTTGATATAAAAGTTTTAATAGAAGGTCTTTAAGATGCAGTACCCGGATGACCGAGCTTTGCTCCGTTTTTTTAAGTTACATTTAGATACAAATTACATGAAAAATAGTTTTTGATCTTATTGACATAATAGAAAAAACTGAACTGGTTATTTGAATAAAAAATCATGAGTGCAATTAGTTTAATTAAAATTTTCGTATTTTTAAAAAATACTAAAAAAAGTGGCTGGAAATAATAGATTTTCTCTCAAAAGAAGGGAACTTGAAAAAAAAGCCAGACTCACGGACGACCGACGCGAACCACGGAACTTCGATATCACGCCCGAACAAGATCCCATCTGAGCTATTACGATCGTTGGCAAACTGTCAAAATTTTCCTTCTTTTATTGTAGCATTTTTTTGGAACACGGACAAAAGGACATTTTCTAAAAATAAATCCTAGCTAGATCGATTTATTGCCCCCGAAACTCCCTGGACACTAAATTTTACGAAACTATATACATACATACAAGAATTGATCGTTTAAAGGTATAGGATAGGATAAGCATTATAATGGCCGAGTTGTCGCTTTAAGTACCATATATACGATATATGAAAGTAAGGTCTATGAAATAAGGCAAATATGTAGTAATGGAAATGGGACTTGAAAAGGATTATTATAGTGTTTCGCAGTGTCCGATACCGATGTAAACTTGGACTCGCTAACCGATATGTCCTACCATATACCAGACCATAGCGTTACGATACGTCGGCTATCTTTTGGATTAGAGAGGGTGTGTTTAGTACTATTTTTAAGTGCAACAAGCATACTCAACTCCATGTCTTAATGCAATAGTTATATGATACGATGATTTTTGGTTACTCGCATCTTAGAAGCGTGCTACCATGATACTTTGGTGCTGTACTAATAACAACATTACCAATTTTGTTGGCAAAGTTGATAGGGATAATGATGTGAGTGTGTATTGAGGAGCGCCATGTGTATGATAGTTGCTTACTGCTAGTTGCAGTATTGCATCTTGTGATGGATCTGCGGGTGTGCTGCGCCTGATTCGACGCGTCATCTGGTTTCTATCGATGGAGGTGTGTGGATGATTTGTCTGCTGGGATTTTACGGGGGATCTTGGGATTGTGTAAGCCCGAAGATAGTCGTATTGATGCTTCTTGCGTTCTGCAGCATTGCGTCTCTGCGATGGTTATTTGTCGGGTGGCTATTCTCAATGGCACTCTCTGCGTCTTGGTTTGACTCACACTTAAGTATCCTTGCGTAAGTCGGGTACATTCATGGCGGAGCTGCAGACTGTCTGACCTCAATGGTGTTTTATATAACAACAACAAAATATCAGTGTGAGTGCTCCATGCAGGATGTACTCAACGGTCGGTGCGCAGAGCACTCCTCTCCCTGGACATCCACTAGTCGAATG